GGGTCTGGGATGGCGTATTGCCGACGTGAGTGCACCCGGCCATTGGCTCGCTGGCATCCTGATGGGCACCTATGCATCCCTCCTGTTTCCCTCCCCTCTTTGCTCTCTCTGCCCCAGAAATCCGGTGCCACGTGCTGCCAGCAGTGCTGCGGGGCTCCTACATCTGCTCAGCTGGCACGCAGATGGACTCCCGCTGTGACTACACCTGCCTGCCTGGCTACCAGCTGGAGGGTGAGCGGAGCCGCATTTGCATGGAGGACGGACGCTGGAGTGGGAGTGAGCCAATCTGTGTAGGTAAATTCTCACCCTGCTGTCCTCCCAGCCTCACACTGCTGGGGCATGCATGGGCGGGCCACCCTCCATCTCTGGGGTGCCTGCAGGCATCACCCCTATATGCCTGACCAGGTGCCAGCTCTTGCCCCTCCCGGCCCTGGGACCTCTGTCCCTGCTGCTACCCAACGTGTCATTAGCCCCAAAACACAGGCTGGTGCAGGGCATGTCTGTCCAGAATCAGGGGACTCAATGCTGGCATCACAGCAGGTCCTGGAGTGCCTAGTCTGTGTGCAGCATCCCTAGGGTGGCTGAGCACTGGGGGCTGGCTCACATAGCCCAGCCCCAGCACCTGCAGGTTCCTCAACCCCCTATCCTCCCCATGGGCAGATCTAGAGCCTCCCAAGATCCGTTGCCCAGACTCCCGGGAGCGGATAGCCGAGCCAGGCAAACTGACAGCCACTGTCTCCTGGGCCCCGCCTCGCGTGAAGGACTCCGCTGATGGCATCATCAAGAGGTGAGGGTGGAAGGCAAGGGGTAGTGGCCTCGCTGGGTGCTCCCCTCCTAGCAACCTGATGGAGAAACCTGTCCACTGACTGCAGGGTGATGCTGCGGGGCCCGGAGCCCGGCTCTGAATTCCCTGAAGGAGAGCACGTGATCCGCTACACCGCCCATGACCAGGCCTACAACCGAGCCAGCTGCAAGTTCAGCATCCGTGTCCAAGGTGAAGCAGGCTCCCCTGGGGCTGCTGCCTGCCTCCCCCCC